TCTTGGAATTTTGGGCATGCACACACATGTGCCTGGCTTGAGTTTTAAGCCTCAGTTCTGGAACTCACCACAGTCAACTATGTGGGAGGCCAGTGACATAACCATTATACCATCTGCTGCTCCCAGAACCTTCTTTCTAGCCAACTTCATTGAATTTTAAAATGCTGTTTACATACAGTTTCATTGAGCAGCCAGTTGAATTTGGATTTGCTCTCTGGATTATTCAGACTTGGTGAGCATGTAGGCCTGGCTCAGGTTTCTTATCTTTATCCTGTCCCCCAAATGCTCCTGTGTTCTCCAGACTCCACTGTGAAGCTGTGCTGAATATTCCAGTGCTGGTGTTAGACGTCAATGATGACTTTTCTGAAGAAGTCACCAAACAAGAAGAACTCCTGAGAAAAGTGAGAAGGACCTTAACTCCTGCTTTCTAGTGGTTTTCCTTGGTTGTGCTTTTACATTTCCAGTCTTTTCTTTAGAATTTAATATAACAGGTCTTGTGCTTTGCATCTGAAATTGCATTTCACACTCCAAAACCTATGGGATCATTACAAGTGACAAATATAATCCCTGTTCTCTCAAGTATTTGGGGCTAATAATTGTTAAATAATTGACTTGAAGTATATGCTTGCCAGCTGACTTTCTCCTCTAAGGTATTCTAAAACTAGGGAAATGAGACTTCAGGAGTCTATTCCCAGCTCTGCCACTTGATGCTATATGACCCTGGGCAGCTCACATTTCTTCTTCATGCCTGTTTTCTCTTCCTTATAAAAAAACTAATGGGCTCAGCACATATGCATTGTGGATGGACTACTGAATAGTCTGGTGAAAATGTGGAATTTAACTTTGTTTTTTCTTTCCCATAGGTTCACAGCTTTGTAAAGAATCTGTAACCAATGCCATGATATTCTGGCCGTGATCTGTGCTCTCTGACTTTCTGAAGCTAGAAAAATGTTGACTCTGCCCCTGCCTTTCCATCTCCATCCCCTTCTATCCCTAGAGCGCTCTGACATTCAGAGTATTCAGAGTATAGTTTGTGTTATCTTGATACTTTGCTGTTGTCTTCTTTTATATATCAAGGATTTTGAAAATAAAGTTTGTCTAAGTTTTACTTATTTTTCTAATTCAGTTGTTCATGCATTATAGCATGTATCTGTTGTACCTGCACTGAACTCCCCTCTAGACTAGCGTTTCTCACCTAAGAAAGACTTTAGCTTTTCTTATATCCTTTATTAACCAGACTCCCTGAATGTTCGTGTGTTTCCTCTGACATGCCAGGGCAGGAGTTGCTCCCAAAGTTTAAAACTAAGCCTGCTATGCATGAAGAAAGGAAGCAGAGTGACTTGGGAGTGAATGGGCCACTCAGATGTGAGCCCGTGAAGCTGGGACATGGAGCCCAGACTTCTTTATCTCTTCTCATCTGCCATCTTAGCATGGGGTACAGGTGTAAGGATAGTCTTTGGTCCAAGAACTCAAGAACCTGGCCGAAAGAAAGAAAGAAACATCAAGAACCCAAAAGTTCGTTATCTAGCATTTAGAATTGGTCATCCCAACACTCTGACTTAACACTGATTGCTACCCAACGAGTTTCTGATGACCTTAGTGGGATGACTCCTTTTGTGCAAGAAGAAAGGAAATAATCTTTTGTGCTGCTCTTCAAGCCTCAAGGACAATTTATTGTTCAAGGAAGAAAAATACATGGCTGTATAGATTTGAAGTGCTCCATTGCAAGAAGTCTGTAGATCCTTGATTCTCTTGGAACTCATTTCCTGTACTAAGCCCTTGGAGTTCTGGAGGCACACAGGAAAATGAATGACCTGGGACTTAGAGGGTCTCAGAAGACATAAATCTGCAGTTCTGTCCTTGATATTTTGGGAAAATGAATGTGAGGTTGATTTCTAACAAGTAATGTTTAGAAATAACAATATAGCAATTTCTTTGTCCCATTTGAAAAAAAATTTAACAGCTTTATTGAGATATTATTTATACACCATACAGTTCACCCACTTAAAGTGTATAATTCAGTGGTCTTTAGTATTTTCATAGGGTTGTACAGCAAACACCCAATTTCAGAATATTTTCATCACCTCAGAAAGCAAGCCCAAGACCAGCAGATGGCATGGAGGTTGAGGTGACTGTATCTCACATGGATGGCTGTGTGATTCAGGTCCTGGACTTGGAAAACATACCAGACATGTGTGCATACATCCCCAAAATCCTAAGAAGAGAGCATAAGAGAAGGGATTGCAGTGCAGCCATCACCGCTGGGGGGGGGGGGCTTTCTCACTTTTCCTCTCTGTCTCTAGTTAGTGCATATGCCTATTGCAAAAAGCAAGTAAGCAATCTCATACCCTATTTACCCTCTAAGCTTCCCCACATACTCCCACCCCTAAGCAACCACCAATCTGTTTTCTGTCTCTGTAGATTTGTGTCTTCTGGACATTTCATATAAATAGAATCTACATAATATGAGTCTTAGGTGACTGACTATTTTTTATTAACATAATGTTTCTGAGGTCCATCCAGAGTGTAGCATGTATCAGTACCTTATTCTGTCATGACTGAATAATATTTCATTTCATGGATATGCCGTATTTTATTTGTCAGTATCATTTTAATTTTAGCCATCCTAAGTAGATATAGGGTGGTATCTGATTGTGGTTTTGATTTGCATTCCCTCAATAGCTAATAATGTTGAGCATCTTTTCACGTGTTTATTGGTCGTTTCTGTATCTTATTTGGAGAAATGTCTATTCACATCCTTTTTCAATTAGGCTATTTTTATTTTTTTAATATTTGCATTATAAGAATTCTTTATATATTCTGGGTACCAGTCTCTTATCATATAGATAAATAATATACAAACTTTCCCATTCTGTGAGCTGTCTTTTCATTTACTTGATAGTGTCCTTTGGAGCACGAAAGTTCTCATTTTGATTAAGATTATTTTATTTATTTTTGTCCCTGTGCTTTTGGCATCATGTCTAAGGCTTTGACTAAACCAAGGTCACAAATATTTACCCCTATATTTTATTCTAAGAGTCTTATCTTTTTAGCTTTTAAATGTAGGTCTGTGATACATTTTTTGTTGATTTTTATGGGTGGTATAAGTAAGGGGTCCAACTTCTTTTGCATTTGAATATCTAGTTACCCCAACACTACCTGTTGAAAGGACTACTCTTTGCCCTATTGAATTGTCTTAGCATCCTTGTCAAAAATCTGTCCCAGTCTTTCTTGTACTTGGTTACTGCTTCAGACTATAAATAAGTCTAGACATAAAGGTAGGGTGTTTGGGGGCCAGCAGATGGCTTGGTGGTTAAGGATGCTGGACTCCCACATGGCCAACTGTGGTTTGAGTCCCAGACCTGGCGGCTTGCTCTCGCTCTCGCTCTCACTCTCACTCTCTCCTTCTCTGGTCCAATTGAAATAAATGAATGAATGAATAAATAAAGTTAAATAAAATAATTTTTTTTTAAAAAAAAGGCAGGGTGTTTGATGTGCTTTGGAAACTCAGTGGTTTAAGTCATTTAGCTTTGAAGGGCCCAAGTATTTCCAGGAACCACTGATGTAGAATAAGAGCACTAGGCCCACACTCTATTCATTTCTTCATTCATCAACAAATATTTATGAATATCTGCCATATCTTGGGTACCAAGAAGACCATTGTACATGAGAGAAGACAGACCTCCTCTCACAGAACTTGCCATCTAATAGAGAAAGTGATAAGACACCAAACAAATCTCAGATGTGGAAGGAACTATGGATGCCCTGTGGGGCCTGTAAACAGAAAGCTGCCGTAATCTGGGCAACCCCATTAAGAAAATGACAATTCTGAAGAAAGTTCAGGTAGAGAAAAGTCTTATGCCATGATGTCATGTGAGAATGACGCCTTAGGCCCAGGTTGTCAAAGCCAGATGAGGATATTAATAATATATTATTTAAGAATACTTATATATTATTAATACTATATATATATTTAGACTACCTCTCAAATTTTTCACTTAGTCTGGTTTTTTTTTTTCCCTTTTGAGAGAGATTTTTGCTATAGGACGCATGTACTCACTGGAGAAACAGAAAGTAAGAAACCACCCCCCATGGGTGATGGCCATGTTGCAATCCCTTCCCCTTCATTCTTCTCTTGGAATTTTGGGCGCGCATGTACACACTCCTAGCGTGAGTTTTCTTTTTGAGAGATTTTTGCTATAGGGTATGTGTGCTCACCAGAGAGACAGAAAGTGATAAAACACCCACCAGGGGGGATGGCCGCACTACAATCCCTTCTCTGGTCTCCTCTTGGGATTTTGGGCATGCATACATACGCACCAGGCGTAAGTTTTAAGCTGCCAGATCTGGGACTTGAACTGCAGTTGACTATGTGGGAGTCCAGTGATGTAACCATAGCTTCATTTGCTGGTCCCTTTCCAGCATGAGTTTCAAGCCGCTGGGTCCAGGACTTGAACTAGGGTAGGCCATGTGGGAGTCCAGCGACGTTACCATTACGCCATCTGCTGGTCCCATCTTCACTTATTAATGCTTGAAACATCTACAAATACAGCATTTCTTTGCATTTGTGAATATTGCCTTTCATAATGTAAATGTCCTCTAAAGTGGAGCCATCAACAGTCTCATGTGGGTGAAATAATTTGCCATTTTTCAAATTGGTAGCTGAGCTCATCTGAAGAGAGCAAACATCTTAATGAAGAGTAGGAACTTTGGACCTCAAGTATGAGGGGACAGTGGGTCTAGGTGGAGAATTTAAATATGGGGATTAGGCCCACCAGAAGGCAGGTGGAAACCTTCTGGCACCTTGGAGATTAAAAGGGGACGGTGGGGAGTGGAAGCAGCACTGAGCCTGACAGTGTCTGCCAGGGTTTCTCCTGAAATGGTCCCTGCTCTTCACTGTCACGCTAGCCTCTGGCCTCGTGGTGTTCTCACTTCTGGTTCGGACCATTCCCCAGAGTCAAATAACTTGGATTAACCCATAAAAGTAGCCGCATTTCTTTCCAGTTTACGATGTGGTAAAACCTGCTGTTCTGGAACCTGGATATTACTTTCAGGGGTTTATAAGATGGATTGAGGTTGTGAAAGTTCTCCAACTCTCAGGCTATTAACGTGAGGGAGGCGGGGATAGTTCCAGGTAAGAGCAAGCGTGTGTGCTATGCAAATGCTACAGGCACAAGGCAAGTGAAGCTAGGAAATGACATGTACTTGAAACTTGAAAGACTTTAACCTCTTCTAGCCCTCACGTTAAATAGTGAGCAGCATAAATCCTCCGGGCCACCTTCTCGGAACTTTCCCTTGCTGGTCTCTTCTGGCTTCCCCACCTCTTGGTGCCTCCTTTTCTGTTCCTGGAGCTGACTTGTCTTTTTCTCCCCTTCTCTGCAGTGCTGATGTCACCCCGGCACCCTTAGCTCATTTCTGTCAATACTCCCTCCCTTGGGTGATGTGTTTGTTTTCTCTTGCTGCCGTATCAAACGGCCACACATGCAGTGGCCAGAGCGGCATGAATTTAGTACAGCTCAGATATGGGTCGGTGTACTCAGAAAGGTCTCTGGATTCGAACTGGTAACCTTCCTGTGTGGGTCTGCCTCACAGAGCTTCACGTTTCACTGTACCACTTCCAGCTTCAACCTGCCATGTTTTTATAACCTCATCTCCCACCACTCCTACCATGAACCCCAGAAGACTGCCCATGGTTCCAGAATACTTCTTACGTTTCCTCTGTGATGAAATACTTCTCTCTCCTCGTCTTCTCCCCACCTTTGTATACAGGAAGAATCTTGGTCTGCTGGCCCCAGGTCAACTTTCTTCTCTCTGTGAAGCTCTTCCTTCCACATGGAGGTAGGAGGTCTTTGTGCTCTTGGGCAAGGTGCCAATTCAACTGTCAAATGTGTCATACCTGAGTGAAAGTTATTTGAGGACATCTCTTTGATATTCTTGGCTTTGACTTTTCTGAAACAGATCATGTCTTGGTTACTTGGCACAATGTCCAGCATTTATTTTTCTCTCTTTTTTTTAATTGCCGGAGGGTGTGTGCTCACTGCAAAGGGAGACAGAAAAAGAGAATATCCTGGCAGGAGGGCGGGGGCATGGTTATGTGGCGATACGTTTTCCTT